GGTGGGCTCGGGACCGCCTTCCTCATCTTCGGCTTGGGGCGAGGGCGCTTGGGCGCCGCGTCCGTCGACTCCGCCGGGGCTGCTTCGAGGTCGACGCCTCCTGGTCGGCCGTGGACTTGCTCGCTTCTTGGGGCAGAGCCTTCGCCGGCGGTCTTCTTGGAGCCTTCTTCGGCGCAGAGCCCTCGCCGGCGGCCTTCTTGGAGGGCTTCTTGGGGCGGGAGTCTTCTTCTCGACCGCCCTCTCCTTGCCCTTGCCCTTGCGCTTCGGTGCCGGCTCGTCGTCCTCGTCCTCCTCCTCGTCGTCCTCCTCCTCGACGTCGGACTTGACGTACTCGTGTCCTCGGCGGCCTCCAAGTCGAGCAGGTCGAGGACCGCCGCGCCGAGCATCCGCTGCCTCGAGCTCGCTGAATGACGGTCAGAGTGGATTTCAAAAGAATGACGTGGTACTTACCGAGGTCGAAGCCCGGGGTGATGAACGCGATGTGCATCACGCCCTTGTCCCAGGCGATGTTGTTGAGCGCGACGTCCACCGACTCGGTGACGACGATGCGGTAGACGAAGACGTCGCGCATCTGCCCGAAGCGGTGGATCCGCCCGATCGCCTGCTCGTCGGACTGAGCCGACCACGTGGTGTCCTGGCACCGGATGAGTGAAGCCTGGAGGGAAGAAAAAGAAAACGCACCAGGAAGATGATCACGTTGGCCCACGCGATGTTGAGCCCCGTCGCGCCGACGCCAGACATGACGAGGATGGTTTTGCCACCCCAAGTCGACTTCCGGAACTTCTCGACCTCTTCGGCGCGCTGCTTGGCGGACAGCGAGCCGTGGATGAAGACGGCCTTGAAGCCGTAGGCCGCGAACAACTAAGACAGGTGAGAAAGGATTGAGGGATTACAAAAAGAAGACTTACGTTCTCGAGCACGATGTTATTCGACGGGAACGTCGAATAAATGACGATCTTGTCCGGCTCGTCCCCCGAGTACGAGACGTACACGTAGTCCTCGTCGGGGACCAGGCGGTTGGAGTCCGGGAACTCGGGGAGCTTGGAGAGGGGACGCCATCGAGCTCCGGGTCGTTCCGCATCGGGGGGGCCTTCGGCTTGCTGTGGTTCTCGAGCAAGTCGACGAGGGCCATGAGCTTGGCCGTCGGGATGGCCTCGAAGTCCTCGCGCGTGACCGGGATCTTCGCGTCGGGCGGGGGGTGCCGGGCCATCGAGAAGTGGAACATCGTCCGGCGATGTCCACGTAGAAGTTCTGTGTGAAAATTGTCAGCCACTGAAACACTGGCGAAGGTGCGCCATCGGCGCACCCGCGCGAGGGGGAAGGAAAATCATGACAGTGGCCGTGAGAAGGCACGGCCGTCCAGTGCGCCATTGGCGCACCGCGACGCGAGGGGTCCGCGGGTGCCACACAGGACTGATCCACTGCGGGCAGTGAGCCTTGGCGCACCGCAGCAGGCCGGCCTGTGAGACCCGCGCCTCCGCGAGGGGTGCGCCGTTGGCTCACTGCAGCTGTATGCCAGCGAACCGCCCAAGGTGGCTCATGGGTGGCTGGCCAGCGCACCCTGCGCTGCGGTGCGCCAACGGCGCACTCGACGAGGGCACTGATGAGAGGTTACGGTGTTCCAACCGGACCTCTCAGCAGCCCCGCGCGGGGTGCGCCTTCGGCGCACCGACCCCCATACTCGAGCAAGTGGTTATTTGCTCACCTTGTCCGTCACCGCGGCCTTTTTCCCCTTCGCGTCCTGGCCGACCTCAGCCTGGATCGACTGGACCACCTTGCGCTCGTACGGGGCGAGCCGGAGCATGATGGAGATGTCGTTGCAGGGCGGCAAGCCACTGACAACGTTCCCCTGCCAGTCCGTGGACGTCACCGTCCGACGGATGACCATGCCCGCCCACCGCTTCCGGTAGTCGGCCATGATGGTGATGGTCTCCGCCGCCGTGGCCGAGCTCCACGTCGACGGCTCCCCGTCCTTGCTCTCCTTGGCGGCGGTGACGCGCCGGAGGGTCCTGTTGTCGCGCCGCTCCGCCCGGTCCTTGGTCTGCGCGCGCGTCAGGAGCCGTCCGTGACCGGCGAGCTCCTCCTTGTACTCGTCGCCGAATCGGGGGAGGCCCATCAGGCGACCGATGGAGACGAGGTCCTGTGCAGCGACGGTGAGCTTGGTTACAATCCGGAGAGTGGGACTTACCATCGCGCTGGTGATCGTCGGCGTCGCCGACAGTCCTACCATGGAGCCCGCGTGCTCCCGAAGATTCCGCACCGCGCGGAAGGCCGCATTCGGCTTGCGCATCTCGTGGATCTCGTCCACGATGACGAGCCCCCAGTTGCGGCTGAAGACCGACTTCGCCTTGATGGCGGCGGCCTCGCGGGCGGGGCGGGGGATCTCCGATCCGGCGTGCCACGGCTCGCCAGGCGGGAGCATGAAGACCTCGGTGCTGTCCTTCGACACCGCCTATGGGAAGTATTGTGAGCGAGGAATGGATGAGAGGGCTTGTGCTTACCGGCACCGTCGACAGGACGATCTGCCGACTCTTCGGCTGCTTGAAGGCGTTGACCGCCGCCCAGAACTGCTCCGCCCGGTTGCCGCGGACGAGGGCGGTGTACGACATGAGGTCGAACGACTTCGCCGACACGTACCGGTGGATCTCGAGCCGCACCTGGGTCTCGAGCGAGACGGGCACGACGATGAGAGCGGGCGCGTCGAGGAAGTTGCCGTCGTCGGAGCCCGGGAACTTGACGTTCTCTGTGAAGAAGGTAAGTAGCTGTCTTCACCGCGCATAGAAAAGTACTTACTGTACTTGCCCGGGAAGTGGCCGTGGGACGCGTAGTGCATCCGGAAGTGCGCCATCATGCAGATCAGGCCGACGACCTGCATGGTCTTGCCGACGCCGACGCCGTCCATGAGGAGGGTCGGCTTCCCGGCCAGCACGTTGTCGAGCATCTTGACGATGCCGACGAGCTGGTGCCAGCGGGGCGCCAGCGGGATGGTGTCCTTGCCCTCGAGCGCCTTGATGCCCTCCGGGGACCACGGGTCGTGCACGCCGATCGTCGACTCGACGAGGTTGAAGAAGGGGATGCTCTTGTCGGCGCTCCGGCCGAGCATCGCCCAGAGCTCGTCGGGGGTGCACTTCTCGTACTCCTCGACGCCGGTGCCCCACGCGAAGTCGTCCAGGTTGTGCACGCCGATGTGCAGCTCCGCGTCGTCCTCGTCCTCGATCTGCTCGAGGAGGCGCTCCAGCTCGAAGTTGAGCTGGTCGACCTCCTTGCGTCGGCGAGCTGCTGGAGCGCCTCGACGACCGACTTGGGCAGCCCTGCAACGAGGTCAGAGGTCGTCAGAAGAGGCGATGACGGGGACGTACCGGGTACCGCCTTCGAGCGGTCCTTCATCTGGTCGCGCACCTTCTGGACGTTCTCCAGGTGCGTCTTGAACTTCTCGACGGCGGCGACGTTGTCGAGGTTCCTCGCCGCCTCGAGGTGCGTCGAGACCTGCTTGAAGTACCTCGTCATCGCGCCCTTGATCGTCTTGCTGTCCTTCTTCAGGATCTCTGCACCGAGGGTTAACGCGGCACGCATTGCACAACGCGCGCACTCACCGTCCCAGTCGTTCTCCATCCCGGCGACCCACTTGTCGATCTTCTTGACCTCGTCGCCGATCCGCTTGCCCTCCGAATGCCACAGGTGCGGGAAGATCCGCCCCACGTACTTCGTGGCCCACGGCTTCGGCGTCGCGGCCCTGAAAGTCGCCCACCGCCGAGGAGCTCGAGCACGACCGGGAGCGTCGCACTGGCGAGGTTGCACTCCTTGACGTTGGGGAGCTGGGCGTGGCGTCAGTACCGGTGTTGGACGACTGTGACGTGCTCACCGTCATCGTCTCCATGTTCCGCATCGTTTGATACGGCCCCAGCTCGACGGTCTCGAGCACCTGCAGCGTCCGCGCGCGGATCTGCCACTCCTTCACGGCCTCCGTAAGCCATCCGAGGACGGCGTCGCGACCCTCCGAGTCCTTGTCCTTCTTGATCTTGAGGCACGCTTGGCGGGCGGTCGCGCCCTCGATGGCCCGGTACCTCGACACGAACGCGAGGACCTTCTTGAGCAGGGCGCCGTCGTGCGCCATCCAGGAACTCGGGACGGACTTCGGCCCGGCACTCTCGTCCCACGGCAGGCCGGTGTTCTCCTTGCGCGTCAGCACCTCCCACGCGCCGCAACTCACCAGATCGGTTGGCTGACCATGAGGTCGAAGATGTTGTGTTGGGGCGTCCAGACGCCCATTGCGAAAGCGGGAGCGAGGAAGCAGGGGTGGCGGTACAGGAAGAGAGTAAAGTGGGGGCAAGGGACGGTTGTGAGGGGCTTTATAGCCCACAGCAGTCCCATCAAATGTCGGCCAACGGGGATCTTAGATCCAGATAAGCGTTAACCGAGACGATCAGCGCCCGGGGACACTGTGGCGCGTGATGGGATTGGACGGGCTGCTCGCGAGAAGTGCGCCGACGGCGCACCGCGGCGTGGGCGAGCAAATTTTCATTAAGCGCTCGCTGCGGATAGGCCGGGAGGATCAGCGCGGTTAGCCGGCGATCGCGCTGATCTTGATCCCGCTGGGGTCTGGAGCGCGGATGGGGCATACCGCTTTGGGTAGGCTGGGCGGGCACGGAGCGGTGGGTGCGCCGTTGACGCACCGCGGCGGGGCCTGCCACCGCGCGCTGCCACGCCCATGCACCTCGCCCTCGGTGCGCCTTCGGCGCACCCCCGCGGGCAGGCCACGCCAGCCCACCGGGCACGTGCACCGCCGCGCGCCCTCGCCCCAGTGCGCCTTCGGCGCACTGAGCGCAACCTCGCTCGCGAGGGGTGCCTCGCCCACGCTTTCTGTTGCTTGACGGCTGGTTCATCCCTTGCGCGGGGTGCGCCATCGGCTCACTGGACTGGCGTTGTCACCACACCGTACATGTCGCACTGTCTATATGTCACTTTCTACATTGAGGTAGAGTACACACTATGACCGTTGCTCATTCCGACGACTCCTCCTCTTCCTCGCGACGCCTAATCCTCTCATCCCTCGCCGCCTGCTCCCTGTCCGCTTGCTCTTCGTCGGATGACATCTCGAATGGCACGTCATAACAGGTGATTGCCGGCCTTCCTCCTCGGGGTTCATCTCCTCCGGACGCACGCTCCGGATCACCCAGCGCTCGCCCTTGTAGACTAACGGATTTACGGCAAGAATGGGAGCCGGGCCTCGGCTCCCGGTGGGCACGGCTTTTGCCGATGAGGCGCCGGCCTGACGCGTATTCCAGATCCGGTCATTCTCAGGCTGCGGCAGCCAGAGCATTTGGTTGAACAGCCCCAGCAGCGCGCGGCGGAGCGCGGGGATGTCCACCTCGTCGTGCTTAGCCAGAAGCGCCGACCACTGTTTCCAGTACGTACACTGCACGTAGTTCTGCAGCGATGGTTGATGGTGGTGTGTGTCGGCGGGAAATACCGGTCGAACATTATGCCCGTCCAGAATGTTCCGTCCACGTGATTGACGCGGCACTGCGTGAACGGCAAAACCGGCGACTTGAACAGCCTGTCGGGTGCGTTCACCTTCTCGATTGCTGTGACCGTCAGGAACGATCGATGCTGTCTTCCCTTCGGAGATGGGGCCTTCTGCAGGAGATCACACTTGAATTGCTCCCACAGACGGGAACGCGTTGATCCGCGTTCAACGGAGGCGCTCGTCCTCGTTCATCCTCGCGATCGATGGCCTCCCTTCTCGGCTCGCGATGTCGATCCGGATGCCCCGGTCCGCCAGTCCGAGATTACGCTCAGGCACGGGTTCGGTGCGGTGATTGATCGTCGAGCTCGTCTGCGTTTGGCGATTGGGGACTCGGTACGGATTCCGTTTGGATGGGACTACCCGGATCCCCGTCTGGCCGAACAAACCACGGAGGGTGGGCATGTCCTCGGCCTTGTATGCCAGCGCCAACATGTCGCCGTCGAGCACACGGCGTCTGTCCGTGAGATAGCTCCCGTGGTCGCTGACGATAGTGCCCAGGAGGAACAGGCCTTGCTTGTCACCCACGGGCGACCAGTCGTATCGTTCGTCGTCGTAGACATCGACGTCATGCTCAGACATGAGATCCTCGGCCTGGTGCATGGCGACGTCAGCCTCCAGCTGCGGATATGGTGTCTTTGTGGTGTTGCGGTAGAGGCATCCGTTGAGCATGTGTGTAAGGACAACGCCGAGCTGGAGTGACTCGTCCCTCGCCCGGACGGCGTTGGGACTCTTCTTCAGGTGTTCGATCATTGTATAACAACAGAACACTCTCCACCACTTGAATGTCCTGTGGGCGGGTTACTTACTGATCATACCTGTATTCAAACTCAGCTTACCACCACGTGACTGCTGGCCAAGAGAGGCATGCATCCTGAAGTAAATCGTATGGGATGTCCTTGAGTGTCGACCCTGCCTTGCACGCTGCGACTCGGATTTCGTAGCGACCTGTTCCCTCCTTCCTCGTGGTCTTGCAGTCATTGAATACCTTCGTCCACTCGTTTACCCTCTTCAGTAGCTTGTCAATCTTCCCGGGAGCAGCTCCAGGGGTAGAACAGCGTCAAATTGGCCGTTATGAAGCTGGTAGTGCGCAGACTTCTCGGTGCTGTAAACATTGATGTACCTAACCCGGTCAATGCTGCCCAAGCTGGGGTGCCGACGCGAAAGCCGGCAACATCGCTCAGCTGCACGGCGTGATCATCTTGAGTACCTTGCCGCGTGGGAGATGGCTGATTGTTAATGGGCTACCGTGGGGCACGGCATGTCGAATGATTCGTTCCATGTTATCTCTGCGCCAGTGGACAACGTGTCCAGGGCGGCGGACCTCGAGGGCGACGTCAACAAACCACCTGTGGTTCAGATCGTCATCTGTGATCTGGTCGAAGTCGAGGTGTCCGAATACGTCTTGGAGCGCGAACTCTGCATCGTCGTCGTCCTCGGGGTCATGGTGAGTCCCTCCTTTGGCCCCGCGGACCTCGTGATAGAAAAAGGCGCCCTGGAACTGGGGGATGCGGTTCATGTACCGACGAAGCCTGCGGTAGAAGGTGGGGATGTCGTGCGCGGGTATCTCCGCTGTCCCGAAATGCAGCTGCCCCTGGACCCCTGGGCTACGGTGTACGCATTGCTGTAACTGGCCGGCCAATGGCTGAGGTGGGGGTAGTTCATTTTGGTGAGTGCGGCGAGCACGACCTTCTCGTAGAACATGATGATCAATGACTGAGGGATGGCGGGGACATGTGGGGCGTATACATCGCGGGGAACATCACGTTGACTTTGGAGCGCAGCCCGACTTTGGCTAGGCACAGGTTGGGGATCCTGCTAATCTCGACCTCTGTGCGCTGCTAAATTGACGGTGATGAGAGGCAAGTCTGTGTCACTACTACCAGGACTCACATTGCCACGTGTGATTGGCCAGTAGAGATAGACGCGATGGGTCAATGTTTCGCTGAACGGCGCCACGGGATAGACATTGAGGCTGCACTGATACGGCAAGTCCTCCGAGGTTCCCAAGATCGAGTCGAAATCACGGATGACGTGGAAATAATCCTCGCTGTTGCGTTCCTCCTCGTCCTGAGCGGGCGGAGGCATTTGGGCACTGTTGCGTGCGTTGATGAACAGGCGATGTTCTTCGTCCGACGCGCTGTGGTGGTAACGCCCTGCCAGCGCTGCGAGGCATGTCTCGAAATCCTGACGCTCGACCACGTTGTGCTCGTTGAACCAAATATCTTCCACGAGAAGATTGAACTCCCGCAAAGAGATTGTCTCCCGCGGCAGGTCCGCGTCCGGGTGGTGCTCCGGCTCCCAGACCATTTGGTAGGTTAGGTGTTGAGCTTCGCTGTCGGCGTGGCTGGGTGGTTCGCGAAGCTGGGAGGGGCGGGGGCTATGGGCTTCTGCGTGGGCTCGCTTTTTATGGTCCGGCGGGCGCGATCTACTGGGCGGGTGTACCTCAAATTAGACCCCTTTTGCCGATCGGTTGCGCGCATCGACCCACTAGTTCCTGCAGCAGGATTACCCGCTGTCGCCCAATGTCTAGTGCATGTTTCACCGGATCCGCCATCACTCGCCTGCATGCCTGATTCAGCCAGCAGCCGACAGCTGCGCGCTATACCTCATTTGGTCATTGAATTTCACATTTGTTTTCATTCTTCATCCCACTCGATTAGTGCTACTTTGGCGCACCGCGGCGAGAGGGCCACTGCTCACCGCCCACTGGTGCTACTTTGGCGCACTGCGGCGCGGCCCGGGCTCCACCGACCCGTGGTGCTACTTTGGCGCACCGCGGCGAGAGGGCCAGTCCCACAGACCCCTGGTGCTACTTTGGCGCACCGCGGCGAGGGGCTGGTCCGCAGTCACGTGCGGTGCTATTCCGCCGCACGTGGCGAGTCCGATCTGTTGTCACGTGTGTTGGAGTACCACCGCGTGGACCCGTCCAAACAGAGACTTGGTGCTACTTCGGCGCACTGCACCGCTGCCCAACGCAGGCCGGGAACCCTGTCAGTGTGTTGCGCATGTCAGGTGACAGTTTGAAGGTCAGATGACCGATAGTGTGAGTACTTCCACATCTGCTTTCATTCCCCGTTCTGCACCATTGTCCGAAATGGAAATATTTCCTTTTTAGGCAATTGAACCCAATAAGGCAGGTTGGACATTCTTTTACAACAGTATCAAGGCAAATCCCACTATTCCAATGTGCAGTGACAATGCAGTTGACAAATTGGGTGCGACATTGTCTTAGAGCATTGACAATGTGAAAGGCTCAATATCAAGCCAAATAACTGTCGAACTGGCCTGCATGACCTTCTGTTGCATTGCTGACTCAGTCAACCACTCCAATGTACAGTCAGTTGATAGTCAGATGCCCCTATTGCTGACAATGTTAATGACTTAGATGTGCTGAGCTATCACTGCTGTCGCACCCTGGGAACCTTGTAATGGCATGTTACAAAGTCAATGACTTTGATGTCCAGCAACTTGACGGTACTAACCCCTTGTGCAATGTTGTCTTGCATTGTTGATGAAGTCAATGACCTCAACATTGATGATTTTCTCAGTGGTAGGACCCCGCATGACATTGACATTGCATTTGATCTTTGAGCATGGTGATTGACCTCATGAATTGAACATGTAGACCAATATGTAGACCAATTCACATTGCTTGCAGTAAGGACTCAACATTATGCATGGATTAGATGCCAATGTTGACATCTAAGCTTATTTGTTACTTGTCAAGGCATTGCAAAGGTCAAAGCAATGAAGGATGTCATTTATGTGTAATTCCTCATTCAGTTAAACATTGAACATCAGTACAAAACATACAGATTGTGATTGTGGCTCATGTGCCATGTCAGAGTGCATTGGCTGTGCAATGTGTCTATTGTCTGCACCTCATTGATACTGTCATTGACTTTGTTGTTGTATGGCACACATATTAATCAGGACTGGCTAACCAGGGACCTTAGTGTAATACATTGGACCACTGACCTGCCACCCATGCACATATGACAGCCAATAACTTAGGGACAATATCTGTCTCATGGCTTTGTGCCAGACATCCATGAATAGTCTACTGCACAAGCATGATTGCATTGGTTTCATGTACAAGGGCTATATGGATTGCTTGGGCAGTTAGTGAGGAGCCTGATTGTAGGGGCATCAGCAATGAGCTTGCATGGGACTATGATGGAATGAGCATGGTCATGTAAGACTGAATCCCTCACTCAGACAGTGTGACAGTTTTGTGTGTGGATGAGGTTGTGGGGTGTGAAAGAGGTAATTTCAATGTTCATATAGTGCATACTCCTAGGAGAGACATATACCCAGTGTTACAAATGCAGTACCTTTAAGTAGATACAGGAAAGTGATAACATACAAGCCATGAATCCCTGTGAGTGACAGAATCATGGTCCTTGTAGGTATGGCTGCTTCGCATGCACATATTGATGTCTAATGGTCGTGTCCCAGAACAGTTCAATATCAGGCCACAGACTTGTTTGAAGGAGGATGGTTGAAGGAGATGAAGATCAATGACCATAGGATTGGGTTGTGATCTGCAATCTCCTTCTATTGCCAATATACTGCAGAGACAGCAGCGCAGTGTGCAACACAGTCTTCCTTGTTGCGGTTGTCCTTGTCATGGTCTTTTGAGTGTGTGATCCAGCCATGAAAGATATCATGTGTAAGTATCTCTGTGAGGACATCCAATGGGAAGTCATGGCCCATGCATGTCATTAGGCACCATTGGGTAGTATCAGTAGCAGTGCACACTTGCTTCCTACCCACTGCCACCCAATGATCATCTCAGTTCACTACTGTCCTGTTGTATACAGCCTCTTCATCAGCAGTATATTGATCTATTGTTGTAGTGCGCAATGGCAACAGGACATTAACAATGTTTGACAAGAGACAGTATGTCTGTGTCATAGTTGTGGTAGGTAGCACAGCATATCATAAAGTTACAACTGGTGTGACCCTTTCCTTATTGTCTACAACTGTTACCCAAAATATAGCAACACCCAAGACCAAACCTTCCCATTTGTAAGATATTCATGACTGGTACTCAGACACAAGTGTTCAGCTCGTTATATTCCATTGTTAGCATTGAGAACTCTGTATGCTCATAGAATTTAGGCATGTATGATTGGCTGTACACATTCTGCTGTCTTATAGCTCTATAACCACATGTGGTTGCTTGTACTAAAATAGGTATAAGACACAGTCACTAAGTAGAGATTACCTGTAGCACGGCATCCAATTGAGGGCATTTGTAGATATATCACAGGATTTATTCTTGTCATGCCTGATGAACCCAAGTCACAGTTGTCATGGCTGAAATTAATATCCTGATTCATGTACAGAATGGAGAATGTGAGCTACAATGTAATCCCAACAGCTACGCAATTGTGGGGTCTTGTCTGTTGCTTTTACTGAATTTATAATCACAGCCAGTGCTCTATGGCATATAACTCCCACTCCCACCCACTCTTTGCCCCATTGCATTGCCACAGACATCTGCACGTGCAGAGTCATGAAGGGTTTGATCATTGGGTTGTTGTCAATCCTAGCGAGTGCCCAATTGGGTTTCAAACTCATCATGGGAAACTGAGGGTGCAATGTCAGTGAATTGAGTGTGCCACCACCTTCACAGACATACCGTGCATATTCGTTGGGTGGGTGAACACTGTTGGAACCAACCACCACGTTTGCTAACATACCATGTGTATTCGGTGGTGGTGTTATGGATGCGGCGGACAGGTTGAAGTCCGCGTACCTACATATATATTCTTCACTGTACAATAACCGCGACCCCCATCTCTTTCTCCCTTGTCCCGCTTAGCAGTAATACTTAGTCGTGTCACGTGTACATCTAGGCGCGCATCTCTGCTGAAGACGCGCGCCATAGCTGAAGACGCGCGCAATACGAAATAGATGCCAGACTTCTTAGCATCATACATCCTCGTCCAAGTGCGATTTCGCCGTGCCGTACAAACTAGGATCAAGTCCCTTCAACGTCGGGCCACATTACTGAGTGGAACTTGACCGTTTCGAACGGTCCACCCGGAGTGCATTTGGCCCGTTTCTAACGGTGTACCCGGGCTCGGCCGGAGCACTCCGGGTCTACCGTTTGGAGCGACCGCTGCTAGCAACGAACCGGCCGGAGGGAGGGTGGTGGTTTGGAATGGTCCGGCCGGAGTGCTGGGTAACGTTCCGGCCGGAGCTCTGGTGAACGTACCGGCCGGAGGCCTTGAGAAATATGGGTTTCCTACGGTCCGGCCGGACTGTTATCCAACGTCCCGGCCGGAGCTCTGGGCAACAGTCCGGCCGGAGGCCTCGAAAAATTTAGGCTTCCTACGGTCCAGCTGGACACATACCCAACGTTCCGGCCGGACCTTTGATCAGTGTCCCAGCTGGAGGCCTCGAAAATCTGGGCTCTCAACGGTCCGGCCGGAGCACTCAGCAATTGTCCGGCCGGAGCACTCAGCAATGGTCCGGCCGGCGCACTCAGCAATGATCCAGTTGGATGCCTCCAAAGATTTGGATTCTCAATGTTCCGGCCGGGACCGGGGGTTGGTTTCTAACCTTCCGGCCAGACCCCAGATGAAACAGTCCGGCCGGGCAAAATTCCACCTTCCAAACATCTGGCCGGAAGCCTTGCGGAATCTGGGCTGTAAACAATCCGGCCGGGCTAGTTTGTAATCATCCAGCCAGCTGGACCCCAGATGAACAGACCGGCCGGGCTTCTCCCAAACCAGCCAGACCCCTCAGAATTGATCTGCCGGTGATATAACAACAAGAATTGTTAATACCCAAGCTCAGCTGGAAAATGACCAAGGTTGTATCAACCAAGCTCAATAATTAACCACCCACCGAGCTCAGAGTTGAACCACCGAGCCCAGAGATGAGCCACCAAGCTCGGTATCAAACCACCGAGCTCAGTAGTGAGCCACTGAGCACAGTATTGAACCACCGAGGTTAAACAGCTAGGCTCGGTGGCCGAGAAAAATTGGCCGGGCTCGGCGCCGAGGATAAATGGCCGAGGCTCGGGCCGAGGTTTTGAGCGCCAAGCTCGGTGAAAACCGCCGAGGTCAGTATCAAAGCATTGAGCTCAGTGTTAAGGGGCCCAGTTAAAGGGCCGAGCTGAGTGTTCAATGACCGAGTTTGTTGTTGAAGCACTGAGCTCGGAAATGGCCGAGGTTAAACCACCGAGCTCGGTGAAAAACGGCCGGGCCGTCAGATTGCCATATAAGGAAATTTGGTATCATCTGGTAGCCCTTCATTCACAGAGTACAGTATATGTTCCCTAGTGTACAGAGATGCCTAGTTAGGTCAGAGAATACAAAACAAAATATGCTCACAGGCTTCTCTGAGAACATACTATTCAACTCCTGAGGCCAGTTTTCTTTTCCCACAATGTTTGACCATCTAGAATGTGCTATTTCAATGCACAGACTACATCCCCAACAGGAATAGTCTTATTCTTTGAAGCTGAATGCAGGACAAGAGATAAGGGGCATATAGGTATGGGATATGCATGTCTGACTTGAATGTTGGTTCCTGCAGCCAATATTCTTTCCAAATAGGGTTTGACTATCTAGAATGATTCATTTCCTCACAATGAGTGAGTCCTCCAAAGGAATAGTCTTATTCACACAAGCTGAATGCAGTACAGAGTTAAGGGAATCTGGTCTCATATAAGTATCACTCAATTTGAACAATGCTGATCATCACTTCTGTATCCATGCATGATATAGCTGAAGAGTTTATACATTGGACAGATGTGTCGCATTTTGCTCTGGCTGGCCTAGGACAGTGCACCGGCCGGACCGTTTGCTACGAGCAATGGCCGGCCGGACCATTGGCAATGAGCATTGTCCGGCCGGACCATTACCAATGGAGAGATGTTTCTGTGGCCAGTGCAATGCGCATGGGTGCACATCACAGTTTGATACAGACAATCATTCGAAGCAGGCCCCATCATGACACAATAATGCATGTTCCCCTTAGCTCCATGCTCAGTTCAGCTAGGAAGAATAAGACTATTCCTCTTGAGGACTTTGCTGTTCATGTTGGATTAAGCCATTCTAGTTTGTCAAACATTGTGGGCAAAGCATATTGGCTTTACAAAGTAAACATAGTTCACATGTATCCCACTCCACCCTTGACACCTTAACTCTGTACTGCATTCAGCTTGTGTGAATAAGACTGTTCCTTTGGAGCACTTACTCCATGTGAGTAAATGAACCACTCTAGATGGTGAAACCCTATTTGGAAAGAATATTGGCTGCAGGAACCAACATTCAAGTCAGACATGCATATCCCATACCTATATGCCCCTTATCTCTTGTCCTGCATTCAGCTTCAAAGAATAAGACTGTTCCTGTTGGGGATGTAGTCTGTGCATTGAAATAGCACATTCTAGATGGTCAAACATTGTGGGAAAAGAAAACTGGCCTCAGGAGTTGAATAGTATGTTCTCAGAGAAGCCTGTGAGCATATTTTGTTTTGTATTCTCTGACCTAACTAGGCATCTCTGTACACTAGGGAACATATACTGTACTCTGTGAATGAAGGGCTACCAGATGATACCAAATTTCCTTATATGGCAATCTGACGGCCCGGCCGTTTTTCACCGAGCTCGGTGGTTTAACCTCGGCCATTTCCGAGCTCAGTGCTTCAACAACAAACTCGGTCATTGAAAACTCAGCTCGGCCCTTTAACTGGGCCCCTTAACACTGAGCTCAATGCTTTGATACTGACCTCGGCGGTTTTCACCGAGCTCGGCGCTCAAAACCTCGGCCCGAGCCTCGGCCATTTATCCTCGGCGCCGAGCCCGGCCAATTTTTCTCGGCCACCGAGCCTAGCTGTTTAACCTCGGTGGTTCAATACTGTGCTCAGTGGCTCACTACTGAGCTCGGTGGTTTGATACCGAGCTTGGTGGCTCATCTCTGGGCTTGGTGGTTAAATATTGAGCTTGGTTGTTACAACTAACAATTCTTGTTGTTATATTACTAGTGTATCAATTCTGAGGGGTCTGGCTGGGAGAAGCCTGGCCGGTCGGTTCATCTGGGGTCTGGCTGGATGGTTAGAAACTAGCCCGGCCGGACCATTTACAGCCCAGATTTTGCAAGGCTTCCGGCTGGCCTGTTCACATTGGAAGTTGGGATTTTGCCCGGCCGGACCGTTTCACCTGGGGGCCGGCCAGACGTCTGAAACCAACCCCTGGCCAGGCTGAATCATTGCTGAGTGCTCCGGCCGGACCGTTAGTGATGAGCCCGGCCGGACCGTTGAGAGCCCAAATTTTCGAGGCCTCCGGCCGGGACACTGATCAAAGGTCCGGCCGGAACATTGGGTATATGTCCGGCCGGACCGTAGGAAACGTAAATTTTTCGAGGCCTCCGGCCGGACCGTTGACCAGGGGTCCGGCCGGAACGTTGGATAACAGTCCGGCCGGACCGTAGGAAACCCATATTTCTCGTGGCCTCCGGCCGGTACGTTCACCAGAGCTCCGGCCGGAATGTTACCCAACACTCCGGCCGGACCATTCCAAACCACCACCCTTCCTCCGGCCGGTTCGTTGCTGGCGGCGGCCGCTCCAAACGGTAGACCCGGAGTGCTCCGGCCGAGCCCGGGTACACCGTTAGAAACGGGCCAAATGCACTCCGGGTGGTCCGTTCGAAACGTGATTTCCCACTCAGTAGGCTCGTCGGGCTCCTCGCCCTTCGTCCTCAACTCGAGCTCCCCGCTGCGCTGTCCCTCTGAGTTGTCTCCTTGTCGACTCCGCTGTCAAGCTCCTCGCCGTCTGCCAGCACGCTCCTCGCGCAACGACCTCAATGCGGGCTCCTTGCCTTGCTCACGCCTTCAGCAGGCTCCTCGCCCCGTTACGACCTTTACAACCTTCACGACCTCAAGTCCGCGGTCTCCCATCGACCCACGTCCTCGAGTTCACGGCCTAGCCCGGCCCCCTTGCGAGAGTGCGATACCGCTAAGTCTCACAGGTGGGAGACAGGATATGAATTGACATAGAGACACCGTCAATTATCACAATGAAATCGTGGAACGGACCACCACCTAAGCCAACATACCGTGCATATTGGTGGTGGGAGAGGGGAGATCAATTATATAGTGTTTTCTAAAGGGGGTACAGGTTGGGATAGGGTCCGGGTAGCACCACTTTTGCCTACAGAATGTTGGGTTTTACCCTCCAAACAGGTACCAAACCCGATGAAACAGGGGAAAAACAGCGCAGATTCGACGTATTGGAGTAACATGGGTTTGGGTACGGATTTTTTGCCCCAAGATATCCCGACTTTACAGCGATCTATGGTCCGACACGACCCAACATACATAATATTCATGTACAGCGAGCAGACATCTCCGATATCACTGCGACGAGAGCCCTGCGTCCGACAGTGCTACATCGTTCATGAACGATGTAGCCGACAGTGCTGTATCGCTCATGAACGATGAAGCCGGCAGTTGTAGGATGTATCGTTTACGAACGATGTAGCACTGTCGCATACATCTGCAGCTATGCAGATGTATGCGACAGTGTTACATCGTTCGTAAACGATGCATCCTACAACTGTCGGATGCATCGTTCATGAACGATACAGCACTGCCGGCTACAATCGCTGCAGATGTATGCGACAGCGTTACATCGTTCATGAACGATGCATCCTACGACTGTCGGATGCATCGTTCATGAACGATACAGCACCGCCAGCTACAATCGCTGCAGATGTATGCGACAGTGCTACATCGTTCATGAACGATACAGCACCGCCGGCTACAATCGCTGCAGATGTATGCGACAGGGCTACATCGTTCATGAACGATACAGCACCGCCGGCTACAATCGCTGCAGATGTATGCGACAGTGCTACATCGTTCATGAACGATACAGCACCGCCGGCTACAATCGCTGCAGATGTATGCGACAGGTCGGATGCATCGTTCATGAACGATACAGCACCGCCGGCTACAATCGCTGCAGATGTATGCGACAGGGCTACATCGTTCATGAACGATACAGCACCGCCAGCTACAATCGCTGCAGATGTCAGGTCGGATGCATCGTTCATGAACGATACAACACTGCCGGCTACAATCGCTGCAGATGTATGCGACAGCGTTACATCGTTCATGAACGATGCATCCTACGACTGTCGGATGCATCGTTCATGAACGATACAGCACCGCCAGCTACAATCGCTGCAGATGTATGCGACAGTGCTACATCGTTCATGAACGATACAGCACCGCCGGCTACAATCGCTGCAGATGTATGCGACAGGGCTACATCGTTCATGAACGATACAGCACCGCCGGCTACAATCGCTGCAGATGTATGCGACAGGGCTACATCGTTCATGAACGATACAGCACCGCCAGCTACAATTGCTGCAGATGTATGCGACAGGGCTACATCGTTCATGAACGATACAGCACCGCCGGCTACAATCGCTGCAGATGTATGCGACAGGTCGGATGCATCGTTCATGAACGATACAACACTGCCGGCTACAATCGCTGCAGATGTATGCGACAGCGTTACATCGTTCATGAACGATGCATCCTACGACTGTCGGATGCATCGTTCATGAACGATACAGCACTGCCGGCTACAATAGCCGCAGATGTATGCGACAGGTCGGATGCGTCGTTCATGAACGATGCATCCGACAGCACTGCAGAGATCTCCGACAGTGCTACATCGTTCATGGATGGTGTAGCCGACAGTACTGCAGATGTATCCGACAGTGCTACATCGTTCATGATCGATGCCTCCGACAGCACTGCAGTTGTATACGACAGTGTTACGTCGTTCGTGAACGATTTATCCTACAGTGCTACATCGTTCATGGACGATAAAGCCGATAGTGCTGTATCTTTCATGAACGATTCATCCGCAAGTACTGCGTCGTGGTAACCATGTGATAGGGTTAGGGTCCACACAGGGAAAATGGTTGTCTTGAATTCCCTCCCACAATGGGACTTGTCGCAGTGTGTCTGAGGTGGACCACATCGTTCGCAATCGATGCGCCCATTAACATTAGAGTGTCAATAGCTAGCATGATTCACCTCAGCTACCAATGGACAGAAACAGTTGAGATATCCAGTCCCATCTCTATTACCGTAGCTTGTGTCGTGACGTCTGACAGTAGTCATTACAGAAACCCATGATGGAGTCGGTTGAGGCTTGCTGAACGCTTGTCATTCGTAAAGACATACCCTCGTTGCAGCATCCATTCAGTCGAGATGTACTGTTCTGGTGAACCCACTGCCAGGTTCCGCATTCAATGGCGTCAACTTGTAAGATCATGCATAGAAACAAACTCCAGTAGTCCTTTCGAAGGCTTCAGGAAAGGCAAATCGGTTGTATCAAACTCTATGTCTTTTTTGTCGCTTATTTATAGGCCATCGGACGCACCTTGTGATTCTCTCAGAAGATGGCCGGTGTGTCAGCGACCTTGCGTCATCATCCACCCATCGGTATGCCGACACAATCACCGGAATCAATCGGAGATCACTGGATGCGAGCCTCGAGGTGCAGCAGGCTCTGTCGGGCCAACGTCCGGTTTCCCCCGTCGTTGACTTTTAACGACAGCGTGATTCCAACCAGGTCCATATCACTTCACCCCCCACTCTCTCAGAGCTGCTGCCATGGTTGGACCTTGCACTGTCGACTTTGTTCTGGGCATCATGTCCTTACTGGCACCCCCAGGCAATCTATCTCCCCGTCCCCGTCATGAGATCGTGACGGGCAGCCGACTGTTCACCGATCTCCCTCCAGATCCAGAGGCGTGGGATGCCGACACTCTGCAACGCCTCGAAAACACGCTATGGGCACTCTTCGATAGTCCCTTGAACGTGCCAGCCTTTGAGCTGTTCGTTCGCTGCCAAATCCTCGTAAGTCGGGACCTCCGACGATTGTGTCTATCGCAAGACTAAATCATCCGACACACAGACACCCCGATGGATGCGGTCGCTCATGCGTTCGGGACAGCAAAAGAACTTTCCGGTCCTGCTGCTTGCTATGTTTCAGTGGATCACCTACGACCCGGCGGCCATTCCCTGCGACACTCACGATATCACAACATTCTTGATGTCGCACAAGGGATTAAAGCCAGAGGTTATCGACCTGAAAGCCAACCCTCAAGTATATATGCGAGGCCTCGTCAATATCACTCTCCGTTGGATGTGTACGGTGTCCTCTGCATACCTGCGGTGTTGTACTGACATGTATGTTGGCTTTCAGTGAACTCCCGCTTGGCGTGTACGTATCTACGTGTGAATGTCCGTCCCACCTTGCTAATGCGACAATAGCTTTGCCTCGCCTGGGCCGGGTTAAAGACTTGTACACGAGCTTAGGTTCACTTGCTCACATCCGACGTTTTATAGAGGACATTGAGACTGGTATGTGCCCAGATTGTTTTCGAGGTATTCATAACACCTTCACAACTTATGCTTCCTAGATGACGAGGAGGATAGCGAAACAGATAGTAGCGACGAGATTATGGGCTGAGCGACAATGTCTGTGACGGGTAGCCATGTATCCCCGCCGAAATGTGGTATTTACGTATTTGAGCAGCAGGAAGTTTTGTGCGCTTGTCAACGTTGGATCTGTCCGACTGTCGCTGCACTATCTGTCGGATTGGCATGTGTCGTTTAGAGAGAGTGTCGCCGTAATCGTGATACCTTCAGGAAATCTCAGTAGTTTCTCATCAACCGTGGATCTTCTAAGTCGTTGAAACATAGACAGGGGGGCCCACGGTCTGAAAGCCCCCGACGACAGCCGAGATGTCGGGGAGCTTGAGTGATCATTAACTAATCAGCGTGCGGATACGATCATTCGTATCCAGGTTAAATCGGAGCACCCGAGGGTCGGGTCGGAGCCCGTTTCAAAGAACTGTCGGGACAAGATCCGATGGCCCCATCCATGTGTTTTAACGACGAAGAATTCCTGACGACGTCCACATTCATTCCCCCTACATTCTTCGTCCTGGTGTCATGGTTGGCATTTGTGACATATCCCAGCTTCGCTACCTCATCTTTAACTTGACCCCCGTGGACGCCAATCGCCCCGTTTCCGCAACGACGTCCTGTTAAGCGGCAGTCTGTTCACCGACCCCCCTCCAGCTCCAGAGGCGTGGGATGCGGACGCTCTTCAATGCCTCGAAAGCACACTGTGGGCTGCTTTCAACAGTCCACTGGACTTCCTCAACTTCGAGTTGTTGGTCCGCTGCCACATCCTCGTAAGTCGGAGGTCCGACGATTCTGTCTATCGCAAGACTGAACCGTCCGACACGCAGACACCCCGATGGATGCGGTCGCTCATGCGATCGGAACAGAAAGAAAGCTTCCCTGTCCTGCTGCTTGCCATGTTTCAGTGGATCACCTACGACCCCGCCATTCCCCGCGACACTCACGACATCATGGCATTCTTGATGTCGCACAAGGGACTCAAGCCAGAGGTCATCGCTCCGAACGCTGACCACGTCATATGCCGCCGGGCCGGTGCTGCCATTACTCTGCGCTGGATGTGTACGCTGCCTTACTTTCCATTCTCATGGCTTCGTACTAACATCTGGTGGGATTTCAGTGAATTCACGCCTGGCATGTACGCACCTCCGTCCAAAATTTCGTGCTCACTCGCTAATTCCGTATCAGCATTACCTGACCCAGTCCAGCTTACAGACCTGTACATGCCCTCAGCCATGGAAACGATCGCTCAGATCCGACGTTACGTAGAGGACATGACGTTGGGTATGTCCACGGACAGTGTTCCTCATGATATCCTGAAGCTTACGATGTGCAGACGACGACGAGGACAGCGACATAAACAATGTCGGCGAGCTGATTGACTGAAAGAAATGAGTGGATGAGCGTGCAGTAGTAAACCTTCAAGTCTAAATACCTGGCGCGCTTCTGTCGATGTCGAATTCGCCCCACTTTCCATCTACAATCAGTTGTGTCGGTATGCATCGTTCAAAGACGATACAGCAATTCATCACCATGTCGTTTCACATTCGTAGTACCACCCCGACATACCCTGGAGGATTCCGACACTGAGAGGGGCCACCAGGTGCCCTCCGTTGCCTTAGGCGACACTCCGACGTAGCGCAGCCGCCCGGTCTATCAATTCGACCGCAGATTTTGGGTTGAATCAAGTGACACGCTCTTCCGGAAGGCTCGGGTAACTTCACTGTCATGAAGGTAGACCATGTGATTTTGGAGTGGAACTGTGCCTGAGCACGCCATTTGGTGGTGACGCGTATCTGTCGGAGCGCTGTCCGGCGCGTATCAAGCCTGGATGGAACTAATCAGTGTCGCAAGGACGGACAGTGCGTCATGAGAGTCATTCTCATGTTGAATGGCCATTGCATTCAGCTATGTCGCACAGAACATACATCGCACGACACGCAAACATGACACGTCGGAGTGGAATGAGGAACATCAGAATCATTTGATTGAGTGGATATTGTGTGTGACTTCTCCCGTCAAGACTTTCGATCGTGATCGATCGGGGATCTTTTGCTCCAGTAAGACTCTGATACGTGGATATATGACCGCCTCCACCCTCTGCAGTGAAAACGCACACCTTGTAAGATTGTGTGCTTGTATCAAAGTAGTGTGATTTATTTGCCAGGATCACATTGTTTCATCTACATAGCGAGGGCTTTTTAAGTACCGCACAAGCAGTGAGATCACATTACAGATCCGTTTCGGAGGTGACTGCTCCCGGTCAAGGGAATTTCTAGATCGCTTCTGCACCCGGCCAATAGTCACATGCCTCAGCCCGGTTCTTGGTAACACTGCCTGCCTCCTGTGTGGCAGGCATGTCCGACAATCACTGGCGTCGTTCCTCTGTTGCACCACGACACTATCTCTTGACGCCGAACTGCCCCCAGCCCCACTGCCCCCCCTACTCGCTGCCCCTCACAATGCCTTCTGCCCGTGGCAAAGCCAAAGACACCAGCGAGCGGTCGCGCACCAACAAGCGCGGCAAAAAAGCGCAGAATGCGACAGCGAAGGGAGCACGAAACGTCGCGGATGGCACTGAGATCCCGCAGGACAGCCGCGCGCGAGACAAGGACATTAGCGAGGAGGAAAGCAAACTCTGGGACTCGATGACCGTTCGTAATTGCTGCTCTCCATCGATTCCATGTTTTCTGAGAGATATTACCTAGACCGAGTGGGACGAAATCAGCCCGGCGAGGCGGCTCGAGTTGGATAGGAGGGCACGCGACGCGTTTCTGGGGACGATGAAGTTCGACATCATCGAGACGAAGACGGATGCTATCGTTCCCCGCTTCGGCATGTACAACGATCGGCCCCTCGACAGGGGAGCCATGTCCCGGCTGAAGGCGAACATCACGAACCGTCACGCTCATGGTTTCCAAACCGACTCTCACCTGATATTCGCCGTGGCCACGCGCGAGCTCATTCGCGATCCAGCCCCTGTCGGGAGTGAGCTTCTCGGGTCGGACCTTCCGGAATTCGACCTCCAAGACAGCGTGGAGCCTCGGTCTGTACTCGCGCTTGCTGGACAACACCGATATCGGACCGCAAACGAGCTGTACGCGAAATGGAGAAAGGAGCTCAGAGAGCGACGTGGAATGGCGACAGAGGATGACGATGGCGTGTCCATAGCGCATCAGAGGGAGCGAAGTCGTCGAGTGATGATGTCGATCTAGACACCATGGATGATCTCGAACGTC